TGAAGGAAAACTCTTCGTTCCCTGGTAGTGAACGGAGGAAAGTTCGAACAAGTTGTTCGCATCAAGACGAGGAATTAGTCTTGGAAAAGTGTGATGACGACAGTGTCGTAAACTCGACGTTTTCTAGTAGAAAAACGGAGGTAAGTTCAAACAAGTTGTTTGAAGAAAAGTTGTAATCACACGACATGTTGAAGTTTTTGGTTAGTTAAGATATTCCGGCCCGCGTATGGGTCAGGGGCACGGAATAAATGAGTCGACCTTCTAGTTTGAAAATCAAACAACGACTGACTTGAAAAACGAAGTTTGTCAGTGACGTCAGAGAAATGCGCGGGAAAACTTCAAATTCCGTTCTAGAATGGTATCAGGAGCAGCCAGTAGCATTGTCGGCAACAAACAGGCTGGTTTACTGCTATGTCTAGTCGATGTGAAAGGAAGGGGTGCAATACGCGCGCGCAAAAATAGGTGGAATCCATGCACGATTCCACAATATAATTAAAGCATTACATTTTCTGATATTTATATTTTCCCGAATAAAAAAAAAAGATTAAAAATCTATATGCGACTTCAATAGATCAACCTGGTGAAACTCTGTCGTAAAATACGGTTCAAGTTGTGGGGGTGCTCTTAATCGATTGCTCTCTCGAGAACCACGGGGCTGAGAAAGTAACGAGCCAGGAGGTAACAAAAACAACACTGTATCAAAAATCACGACAGGCAACTTGAGGAACAAACTATCCAAGGTACCGATTTGCAAAGTCATTGACTCTCGCCGACTGTTGGTTTTACTGTCGCTTTTATTGACAGGGAGACAGCTGACAGAAACCCGGATCTGGACAAGTTGTAGAGTCCCGTATCTGAACATGCCAAGCTGTTCCGCTGCGAACGAGAAAAAAAAAAACGATGTAAATGGTTTTGACAGACATGTTCGCACGCGATCGAGGGTCACTTTTGTTTCAGTATTGACGTGCATCCGTCACAACGAAATAAAATTGAACTCGACTAAAATTTAACGTTAATAAAATTGATAAAATTTCATTTATCACCTTGAAATTATCTAGTTACAATGTTCATATTTATATAATAAAACATTTTTATAGAATTATTCAATCATTCTCTTGTATTTAATCTATGGTATCAGCTCACAGGTGTACTTCGGAAACGATAATACTTTCAAGCATATTTGGTCGAATAATATTCTATCAAATTTTTTATTAAATTTTAAAAATTTCCGAATAAGTTGTTTTGTGTTTTCGGTAAATTTGCCAAAGTTCGTATTTATATTTTTTTCTAATATTTTTTTGCAAGTACTTTCGAATGTTGCTACTTTCGATTTCAATGACTTCATTTTGTGTATACAACATCTATCAGAGAGATAAAATTTAAATTTTTATTATCGCATTTATTCCAAAATTTTAACACATCAGCAAATAGCTATTAATGTCAACAACTGAGCACAAATAAAGGGTGTTCCAATAATTTGGACCGATTTTAAATGCGAATTAAGTTTAACCGTCTATTGATTTTTTTCTTTTTCTATCAGATTTGGCGAACATTTGGATGATATTTTTTTTGACAGATAATTGTCATGACTTAAATGACACGATCCAATAAATAAATAAATTTTCACCAGTAATACTGATTTATTTACTGCTGACTTTGATCCGTTTTAATGAAATACCCTTATATATAATCCGTCTTAATGAAACACCTTTTAGTTATTAATTGAAAAAATTACTAATTAATGTATAATATTATCCATAACTACATGTACAAGCTGGATTTTTAACATTTTTTATTTATGTTATTTTTTAAAACACACTTAAATATACGATACCTTATAGAGAAAGATACCTTATTCAATGTTAGCTGCTTCTCTTTTATTAGAACAATCTCCAGAACTTGGACTCTTGGTTTGCATGTATAACATTTTGGAGCTATCGACTAAAATGCCAAATGTTAATATTATTTTCCTTATTTGTTATATGTTCATCTATATGAGCGGGAATTGTACTAAATTTTGACAAATGCCAAGTCAACCTACTAGAGATTATGGTGCTTGTGTGGCCAATGAAAGAATTTAATGTTTTTTTGTTTATTGTTGAGTGTTGGAGATACAATCTCTCAAAGAACATAAGAATTAATAGAAAGTTGCGTAGATATACACAAACACAATCTCTGAAGACGAATGCAACAAGATTTGAAAAGCACAGGGAAAAAATTGTGATAAATCATAGGCAAATTTCCAATAACAAAAAACAATTAATTCGGAAATTTAAAAAAAAATTTATAAAATATTTGATAGACAGAACTTGTCGGTATTAATCAACCAAACACACACACACACACACACACACACACACACATATATATATATATGCTGTTTATACGTTATTTTTTATTTTTTAAGTAAATGCTCGGTTTACAATAAACAGTATTAATTAAATTTCCCGTCCTGAATATATGTCCACTGACACATTTTTCGGACATTGAGGCCGACAGATGTAATTAACACTGTTTATTATACACAGGACATTAACATAAATAATTATATCTATAAAAATAACGTATAAACAGAAAATATATTAAAATAATTGTCGAGGACTTAGTTCATTTCATTATGTGTATATATATATATATATATATATATATATATATATGTGTGTGTGTGTGTGTGTGTGTATTTATGCGCTCTGTTCGAAAATAAAACATTTCTATGACACTAAATCCATACACACAACGCACAGACTCAATTAAACTGAAAAAATAAAATCATCCTTTATAATGACTAAAAGTATAACCGAAAGCGCTCGGAATTATAGAACAAGGAAAACACTTGTTCGAACACAAGAAAAATTAAATAAAAAGCACAATTGTAGTACCCTGTCTGTCGTTTTTAATGGAATATATATATATATATATATATATATATATATATATATATATATATATATATATATATATAAGTGCTTGTGGATCCCCACGCACTTACATTATACTTATAAGTATAAAATAAGCAAAAAACAAATAGTTTTCCATATCTGAAAATAGAGCTTTTATATGAAAATAAAATGTGAAGTGCCTTAACCTACCATGATACCGATTTTCTGGAAGTTCCATCAGATATTGATTGTAAGAATGTGAAACTCTGATTTTAAAAGACTATTTTATTGTCATATATAGTGAGTTATAGTGGCCACTTGTTTGAAATAGACGCCTCATTTTTATTTATATACTAAACAGTGTGTAATACGTCTATGTATTTGCGCATTCGACAAATAAGACATGTTGATCAGCAGGAATCGAACCTACATTTGATTCGGAATACTTTACCGCTCGGTCACGAAGTCAACAAGGCCCTTTTACCCTGTTGTTATTAACCGTCAACCAGGGGAGGTAATACAGTTTCTCTGCTTAAAGCGGTACTGCCACGCTTGGCGCCACCAGTAGCATTTGTCAGCGGACGGTGTATTATATTTTGTGTAGATATGTCAGTCTCTGTGATTTTTTATGCAACTGCAAGTCAGATTTTCAACGTTGTGCTAAAAGCGTTTGCTTTTGATCGTTAGACAAAACGTAACGTGCTCATATCAATGAATTATCAATGACGCCGAATGGAAGGCATACATATAAAAGTAGACATTGAAGTCAACATCGAGGAGCGTCAGTCTGTTTCATGCTTAATCGCAGGCCATGAAGTTTAAGCATTGAACAGACTGTCTCTCTCTTTTATATTACATACGTTATATCCCTGATACTGAGCACTTTTATCTATGAATATAGCATAACTATTTTAACATATTATATAAAATATATATGCAGACTGAAATATGTCTGATATTCGCCTAAAGATTGAAATTGACAGCATGTCGTATTGATATCTATGCTACAAAACATTAATATTAATGAATGTATACATATGTTTGGGTGAATATATATTTATGAATGGACTCGTAGTCACGTACGAAGAGCATTGGCTCTCCGACTATAAGATTGAGGTTCGAATCTTATTATGTCAGAGAGGTAATGGTATCAGTCTAGGGAAGTGCTTTTAAACCATACCACGGAATGACCCAAGCATGAATATATCGACAAAACTGTTCGGAAATTGGAAATTGTTTTAACTCAGGGTTTCGGCGTTGTTCTTAGCTTTGTTCCACTATTGATCACACAAGATTGTGCATCGTTATAGTATATACCAACGGTTGGCTTTTTAGAAGCACAAATGCCAGGCATCTACAGCTGACTGTGTTTGGAACAAATTACTTCCTTATTTACGTGAGGATACGGGTTATAAAAGACACGCACAGTTTATTTTACCCATGGTTAGTATTTACTGAATATTCTTCTTTATCTGCGATGTCCCCTTATGACGTAGATCATGTTTCTCCACAACATCCTCTCCCTTGTAGAATTTTTTGTACTTTTGTTATTTATTCCAAGCCATGTTCGGCCATTTTTTTTACTCAAGCTCACTTAAGTATGTTATGTGTTGTTTTCCTCTTGCCCTCTGTCTGTCTCGTGAGTGTCAGATTTTCCAAGCCCTCTTTCCTGATTATGTTCGCCAGAAACATCAATTGTTTCTTCCTGATGTTAAATATTAGCTTCCTTTTTGTTTCTCCAAAACAGCTCAGTTGCTCACATGTTCGGTCCACGGTATCCTCAGCATCCTCCTGTAGAACCACATTTCTGTTGCTTCAAGTCTCCTGTTCATCTTTGAGAAGATCGTCCAGCACTAACTGCCATACGGGATGACAAATATCATACATTTTATAATGAAGATAATTGATTTGTTTTTTATGGATTATCAGCCCTTTGTAAGTTACGTAAAGCCCAAACATATTTCTGTATTGTAAGTATGATTCTTTTTTTTTCGAGCGAATATTGCATTAGCGTTTCTGTTTGCAATAAGAATGCTTTTTCCAGATACAAGTCACACTATTTAACCCTAGATGGGGGAAGGGACTTTCATATCTTTACAGGCATATTTACATATACGTAGTTTACGGCCACATCACACTGAAACACCGGTCCCCGTCCGATGATCGAAGTTAAGCAACATCGAGCCTGGTCAGTACCTAGATGAGTGACCGTTTGGGAAAACCAGATGCGGATGGTGTAAAGGATAACGGCTCAGCATTGTTAATCTGAGAGCAGAGTTCAAATTCCCGTTGGGTTCGTTATATTTACTTAAGCGCAAAAACTCTTGTGAAAGGTATGAATCCATCTCTTCTCTCCCAAGCTATGGGTTAATTAATATGACTTGTATCACTAAATCATTATAATCTCAAAACAATTCTTACAATTTAAAAATATTTTATGACTTTAAATATCCTGCAAGGAGTGGATACGCCGTAGAAAACGAATCAAACAATCATTTTTGCATAAGTCAAAACAAGGAAGCCGACCAGAACACGAGTCTCCGATTTTTTATTCTGAGTCGCTATCCATTACACCACTCCCCCATCCGTTACAATGAAAATAAATGTTGATATTGTGTGATAATGTCCTTCTCTGTTACAAGATTGATATTGTTAAATTCAGGGAAACTCGACGCTTAATGATGAAGACTCATTGTGTAGCAATATCAGTCAACTGAGATCGTGTTAAATTTATAACAAGAGGACCTGTCACAAAAATCGGTTCGGGCACATTTAAAGAGAAACAAAGAAGACACCCGTTAGACTGTTTACCTCCACCATCAACTACACCTCGTCTCAACTTTGCTCGATCATACCAGTAGGTTACAACCCCAGAATAAAATCTCGTTTAGTTTGGTTTTGTAGTATCGTATGTAAATTAGATAGACAAGTATAAATAGAGAACAACTGGTGAGCATAATGTGGCTATGCCTAGCAAACCCGGTTGCTATTCAGGACACGGAGAACTGTACTACGACTACTACTACACAGAGAGATAAGCAAAATATAACAATGCCGTCGCCGATAGGATCGTTAAATTCGCTGGACGACCCAGAACAAATAGAAACATGGATAAGAACTTTTGCTGCATTTGCAACAATGACAAAATTAAGAGACACAAAAACCGACGGAAGAGAGAATGAGATAACAGATTTAGTTCTTGTTATCGCTGGGTGCGAAGCTGTGCAGAAAATTACGACACTGTGTTACCTGAGAGAATTAGAAAGACAAGCATTCAATGAGTCCATTATACAATACATACATAGATTGAAAGAACGAGCCAAGTATTGTGAATTTGAAAAATTGGGAGCACAGGAAATGACTACAGAAGATGAATTAATCCTTCTCAGAATAATTGAAGGCTTGCAAAACTAAAACCACAAACGAAAAATACTAGAATGTCTACAGAGTAGTAGCATGAGTTTGGAAGCTAGCGTCGAGTTTTTACAACATTTAGAGTTGAATAGAGGATTTAATCAACCAAAATAATTCGAGACGTAAATGTCGAGCCCGACCAAATCCATAATTAAATGTAGATATTGTGGAACATATTACGAGAGAAACAAGTACAAATGTCCACCTCTAGGAAAAAAATATGCTCAAATTGCAAAAAAGAGATCATTTACAGAATGTATGCAACTACGAAAAGAAAATAGAAAGAGTACAAATGGTACAAACCCCATCCGATGAAGAAAAGCTGAAATATTTATTTATTTAGTTACAAGAAGTAGACAAAAAATTAAGGATAAATGGCCAAATATTTAACACTAGCAGTAGAGCCCGGCGTTGCCCGGGGATATAACAGTAAGAGATAGATCAATTATCAACCATCATAAAGTTTTGTTGAAATCGGTTGAAAAATGAAGGTAGCCTTTCTGTAAACTTTTACAATTTATGATTTTTACTTATTGAATACAGTAAAAAAAATTGCATATTTTGCTTGTGGTGATTCATAATTAGAATTCTGATTTGAATATATTTTCCACTCATTGTTTCTAATACAAAAAATATTAACTTTATTTGGGTTTATTAATTTATTACAAGGTAAGTACTGTGTTCTTTCCTTAATAATTATCATCTTAGAAATATTGTTTTTTGTCTATCAGATTTCTTACGTCGGCATTTTAAAATTATTTCTCAATACTTTCTTTTAAATATTGGATTAATTTCAAATAGAACCAATGCCTTATTGATCAGCCTTGTAACAAATTGCAAAGGGAATTGTAAAAACGGCCCTAAAGTACGTGGAATTATCTTTCCCTAAAGATAAAGAATTATCCGATGTTTGGATTCGTACAATCAGTAGAGATCGTTAGATTATTGTTTAGGTTGACGGACACGCATGTCTTAGTTTTTTTGTTTTTTTTTTACGAATTTGTCAAACCCAAACTCAAACAAAAACATTGTTTTCAATCGTTATGATGAGTCTACCGATTGAATAGAATTTTATTATAAACAATTGTCTTGTAAATGGAAGACTAATCAATTTCACGGAAGCAGAAGAAAATGAAATAAGATTATTGAAAGCCTAGAAAGCAAGCATTCGACTAAAAGAAAATTATCACCCAGAATGTATAGAGTCAAGAAAAGTTCCACTAAATATCCTACCTTTGGTAGTAGTCAAATTAAACAAAATGGTACAAGGTATACTAGAAAGAGTAAATCAAGGTGGTAGCAATTGAGCGTCACCGATAGTAGCGATAAAGAAACCTGATGGAGATTTAAGGATATGTGGTGATTACAAGATAGAGGTAAATCACCAGATATGTTCAGACACTTTTCCTTTGCCAAATATCAAAACTGCGAGCCACGAGTTAGCAAAAATGGAACACTGTGCAAAAATTTATCTCAAGGACAAATAGAAATTGACAAGAAATTCAAGGAAATCACCACGAAAAACACCCCTATAGGCTTACTAAGATGGACTCGTTTACCGTTTGGGTTAAAGACTTCGAGCCATATTTTTCAAAAAGTAATTGAAAGAATCTTGTTAGGAAAAATAAAAAATAATATATGGAGCAATTGTTTGATGGCATAATATGCAATGTGGATATAATAGTAGCTCCACAAATACTCAGAAGGCATATATTAAAAGGAGTACATAATGACGTGCATTGTGACATAACCACAACACAAAGGAGACTAAAGTTACAAGCTTAGTGGCCAATATATGTACAGGAATATGTTAAGAGATGCCCAAAATATGCGGAAATAAAAACTTCAAGCAAGCAAGAATTCACTTATGGCCCAAAGAAGCAGAGCCAAGGGGTAGGGTCCACAAGGATCACGCATTTATCAAAGATAGGGGATTGTTCTTAGTATTAGTGGACTCATATTCAGGATGGCCAGAGGCTGTCAGAGTAAAAGACAGAAAAGCCACCACAATAAAGCAAGAACTAAGAACTATATTCTCAAGGAATGGAGGGCCTCAGACAGAAGTCATCGACAATGCACACGAATTTTGCGATGAGAACTTATGTGCGTGGTTAAAACAGATTCGATGCATCCCATACAAGGCACCACCATATCACCCACAATCTAATGGCATTGCGGAAAGAATGGTACAAATGTTAAGAATGGGATTAAAAGCATTCTCACAACTTAATGAAAGCATAGAAGCGTATCTACCAAAATTGCTCCTTAGTTATAGATCCATTCTACATGCGGAAAGAAAACTGAGCCCTTCGGTATTAATGGGAAGACAAATCAGAGCCCCCCCCTAACTATGTCCTTTGCAATGCAAGAAAAGGTGTGATATAGAAGGAATAAAGAGGCTAATCCAGAAGAAACAAATTTCCTGATACAAAAGGACACAACACTGAGATACTTGAGAAAAAGGGACAAGATATATTGGCACATGCAGATCAGTTCAGAAGCAGAGACGAACTGGATGACGTAGAAATGGAAGATCAAGAACGAGAAGAGACAGAAAGTTACAAAAGTGGAACAGAGCGGAAAATGGAAGAAAGTGAGAATGACAAGACGGACGAGGGTGAAAAAGAAAATGAAGAGAGACTGAGATCACGATTAAAGAGAAAACAAAAATACAAGAGGGAGGACAACACAATACTGAAATAATCAGAAATAGTAAAAGAAAAAACAAGGGTATACGACCTCTCCGATTCAGGGAGTAGTAGTATCGTATGCAAATTAGATAGACAAGTATAAATAGAGAACAACTGGCGAACATAAGGTGGCTATGCTTAGCAAACCAGGTTGCTATCCAGGATACGGAGAACTGTACTACGACTCTACAACACAGAGAGATATATAACTCATAACAGGTTTAGTTTAACGGCATATCAATTGTTTTCAGATGAAGATGATAGGACAAAGTACATGACAGCTGTAAAACTGACCAATACCCACCAAAGAGAAGAGGAGACAAGGAAGACTGTTCACCTGTAAACTCAACTACGCCTCATCTCAACTTTGCTCGTTTATAGCAGTATGATACAACACAAGGATAAAATCTGCTTTGGTTTGGTTTATTTTGTTTAGCATCATATCAGTTGTTTTAGGGATGAAGTTGACAGGACAAAGAACATGCCAGCTATAAAACTGAGCAACATCCCCAAAAAACACAGAGAGTCAAGAAGACTCCCCACTCAAGTACGCAGCAACTCAACTTTGCTTTTCCAGTAGTAGGTTGCATGCCAAACATAAAATCTGGTTGGGTTTGTTTATTTTGTTTTTCAACATATCACTTGTTCTTTTTAGATAAAGATGATAGGACAAAGATCATGACAGCTATAAAACTGACCAATAGCCGTAAAAGACACAGAGATACAAAGAAGACGCTGTTCACGTCCCATCTCATCTACGCCTCATATCAATTTTGCTCGCTTATATCATTAGATTACAACCTAAGAATAAAATCTGGTTTGGTTTATTTTGTTTTACATCATATCATTTTTTTGGATGAAGATGATAAGACAAAGAACATGCCAGCTATAAAAACGACCAATATTCTCAAAAGACACAGAGAGACAAGAAGACCACCGTTAGACTATTCACCTCCCTTCTCAAGTACGCCTCATCGTAACTTTACTTTTATAGCTGTAGGTTGCAACCCAATGATAAAATCTAGTTTATTTTTTTCACGTCATATCCATTGTTTTTTTAAAGATGAAGATGAAAGGAATAAGAACATGCCAGCAGTAAAACTGACCAGTACCACCGAATGAAAC